GACATGGCAGAGTCTGTGCCCATTTGGAAATTAACCTTGCAGGAAATCAAAAGTGCCACTGAAGTTGATGTAGAGCTCCAGGCATTAGCTCCTATTATCACACAAGGCTGGCCAGAGAGAAGGGCTGATGTACCCTCCCAGTTGCAGGTCTATTTTCCCTTCAGAGAAGAGTTGTCAATACAAGATGGTGTTGTGTTCAAGGGTGAGCGCATAATAGTACCATCTAGCCTCAGGCAATGCATGATGGATAAAGTACATGCCAGTCACCTGGGCATTCAGGGGTCCCTCACGAGAGCCAAAGAAGCCTTCTACTGGCCAGGCATCTACAAGCAAATCACAGAATTCATTGCAAGGTGCAGCATTTGCAACAGCTACAAACCAGAGCAGCAGAAAGAACCTGCAAGTTCAGATGGGAGTGGAATACACCACATGCGAGTCACCAAAACAGAGTTGTTGAGACCCTTATTAAGTCAGTCAGACAAGCACTTAACACCACTTGCAAGAACCACGCCTACTCCGAGGAACAATAGAGAACATTTTTGCCAGAAAACACGTACATAGTCAAAGGACGAATGCTGTACCCAATTCTGACAATATCTGGGAAACCCCACAGATCATTCCAAACAACCTTCTTCTAGGCCATCACAATCCACCGCCACAGCCAGAACCAGAGGAAAGAACCAATCCGCGACAATTACTCAGAAGCACAGAAAACAGAGTCACTGATATCTGGAGGAGTTGGATAAAATATTTCGCCCCAAACTTGTTCCCAAGAAACAAGTGGTTTCTTGTGAGAGAACATCCAGGCTGGGGATCTTGTATTGGAGCTGGAAAATGGCACGTATTGTAGGCACCTATCCTGGAAATGACGGCCTTGCCCGAAAAGTGAGAATCAAGACAAGGACAGAGAGTACAACAGACCTATTCACAAAATGTGTTTGATTGCAACAAAGGAAGAGCTAAATGTAGGACTACTCTTCTTTAAATCAATTCAAGAACAATGAACACTTCCACAATTTTTTCAGTCTTAAATGACAAATCGTTCCTCAATTAGAGCTAAGCTCTTAATTTCTGCACTCAGGCGGAGTGATTTGCGCTTAATGCAGTAAAAAAATTCAACTTATACTTCAAGTAAATAAATTTTTGTGTTGCTGTTCCGTTTTGGTACCAAAATGCAGTCACAAAGGATCTTGGGACGAATTAGCATTTTTATATAAATAGGCGCAACATATTTAAATGCTTGCCTAACAATCAACCGAACAAATCTGCTAAAAGAACATGTAAAGAGCCGTGTGAAGATGTACGGATTACCCAACAGAATTGTAAGTAACATTTTGCTACGAATATTTCTAGCCTTTCAAGTGTAATTTCATATTTCAAACACAATTCTTTCATTTGCTTTGCAGTTTGACTGTTGCCGATGATGATACCATTGACAACCAGTACAAAAATAAAACCGTTATCTGTGCATCTGTAGCCTTCAGATTTAAGTAACGCTTCACTACGTAAGTGCAAATCACAAGGAATATGTCAGAAGAAAAGTCAACAACACACCAGAGGTTAATTTGTGCCAAAATTTTGCCTTTGAATGTACGCTCTCCTTCTCCCCCAGAGTAATAACCTGGCTCGAGCCCACGATCCAATCCATAAACCAGTGCCTGGTCAGTGGTCAACTTGAAAAAAACAGGCAACCTTGATGAGCTCTCAACCTGAGCTAGCGATGTGGTTACATGATACTGGTCAGCAGATACCTTGTTTTGACAGCTGTCAATTAATCAACATGGATGCCCAATATCAAAGATGTATCTATGGTAAAGGTGCTACTCTCCTATTTTTCAAGGTATGGGGTTTGACATACGGTGTATGGACATACAGACGTATGGACAGTCACGTGACAACCAAATTTTTTTAGATCAATGTGTTACCAAATTTTCTAAGTTATAGCGTTCTGCTCATGTGCCTTCGGCCCACAGGAACTCGACTATTTTATTAGGCTCTGTCAATAGCCAGCAACAGTTGACATTGACCTCAGTTTCTTTTGATAACAAACTTTTGATGCACAGCCATTGCTTTTATAGTACAAGGAAACAAGAATGGCTAAATTATAACAAAATTGTTATGTGCACCTACTTTATTAGACTTCTTATTGAGCTTCTTTCTCTTGGAGCAGGAAGCCGCTGTCTTCTGAATCTTTTCTTGGTAAACACTCATCACAAAAAGACACAACAGAACAAATTATAACTCAGCAACAGGTACATCTAATCTCTAGTATAAACAGAATAATGAGCCCTAGATGCCCTCAGTGTTAAATGTAAAAGAAAAAGCTTAATGACATTTATTTTACTCAATTCATCAAGGGTCTGCATGCAAAGAGGTCTAGATGGTGGCTTGATCCAATATAGTAAGTGTCAATGAGAGATGCCAAACATGGTTTGTGCAGTTTTTTATTAAGACCAGTATTTCATTGAAGTGCATATTAAATATATGGTGTCTTGTAAGGGGTTTCCAATACACTACATGTTGTATAGGGCAATTTGAAAATTGCTTTGTTATTTGCTATGTCCAGCAACAAGGGGACTGATGCTCAAAATAAATTTTAAATTTATTACAAGGATCAAGTCTCTTCTCTTACCTGTGCTTTCTCTTAAAATATTAAATTCAGTGTTAACGTCTTCTTCCAGGGGTTCCTAGAAAAGAACACAGATCTCAAATAGGTAAAGGAATTACAAGGAAATAATTTACTAACAGCTCAAAACTAATAATTGACACATTTTTCATGTGAAAAACCCTATCATGGCTGCCACAGGCTGTGACTATTCCCTGGTAAAAATATAGTTCCCCAGAACACATAAACTAAAAGTCCTACAAAATGTGACTTTACACAGGAAAACGTACACTAGGCCCTATCTGGAATAAACGGATAGTAAACACCTTTAAAAGCATTAATGTCCCAGTTCTGCTTAACTAACTTGGTATTTACTGTAAGACCTAATTAATTAAGAACACACACACATTTGGCTTATTAGGGGGAACACCACTCAGTGGTTGGCATGACAGACAACTTGCCATAGCGTGACAATTTAAAGGCACTACAAGCTGCAAAACAGCAACATGCCATGATAGACAGCAGCTAGAAGCACTATGAGCTGAAGCTTAGGTTGGCTACGCACTAGAGTAGAGCAAAATCGGCTCAAACCTAAAGCCAGCAACGAGCAAAGGTATATGAAACGCCAACCAATGAAGCCTCACTTATCTCCCCTGCAGTGCTGGATCAGACAAGAGTATTGGCAGTTAGGTCGAAAAGCATAAAACTGAGAACGTAAACAAATACAAAGCGAGGCTTGGGGAAGTCGCCGTGGAGACTCAACCGAACCAAAGCCATGAGAGTTGGCCCCAGTTTATTGAATATAACACAAGAACAAAGGCACCCAAGGGCGGGAGGGAGGGAATTGAATACAAATTCACTAAAAAATGTGAGCAGTAGCTTAGGCAAACCTAAGAATATATGACTTTGGACTCTGAACAGGGTCTTTTATAGCTAGACAGAGCCTGTGACTCAAACCAATGAAAAGACACTACATAATATATATACAATAATATATATATACAAAGGTGCGTTCATGTACTAACTGCTACAATGTTTTAACCTCAAATGCCGTAAAAGTCATGTAATGTAATGTTGTAAATGTTTCTTAAATTTGATTAATTTTGATTGTGTAGATATTAGTAACTTAGTAATTTAATTAATTGTTCCTGAAAAGCCCCATTGAGGAGGTAACAAGAAAAAAAGAGAAAAAAAAAAAAAAAAAAAATGTCACAGCATACCAGGGCATCATGCTCCATTAACAGCATTTTACAGAATGACGGCCCTGTAAAACTTTCTTAAAACATTTCCTAGAAATGTTTTAACAGTTACTGAATCTTGGCACATGGCTTGGCAAAGCGTTCAAATGGTTAGCAGAAATTTTCCAACGGA